CACTGCCCCTTCTGGCACAAGAAAAACCCTCTCGCACAATGCCGTTACGCTGATTATTTTCAGGAATAACGGCGTTGCGCAAGAGGGTTTTTCTTGCACATGAAGGGGCAGTGTAGACGCTCCTTCTTGTGCAAGAGCCTCTTCTGCAAAAATGGCAGCTCATTAGATATGCAAATGAGGCTCGGTGATAGTCCACGCTTAGCCTCATTTGCATATTTCTGGCACAAGATCGTGCCAGTGTAGACAAAGCCTAGGTGTCTTACCTGAAAGGCTAAGCCACATCTCCATCAGAGGGTGGGGTGCATGGAGAGCCAATAAGATATACCCCAGAAAGAAAACTGAGGCACAGTGTACACCACGTGTTTAGGTCGAACTTAGCTGTGTGAGGTTGATTTTATAACCAGTAACTCTAAACAACCAAGTCTCTTCTGTCAACTTTAAGGGGGTTTAGACTCAATTTCTCTACTCCTCTTTGATGAGAGGAGTAGTGTTAAATTTAACCTTGTATGGTCAACTTTAGGGTAGTGCAGATGTAAGTGCTGTTCAAGTCAACATTCTTGAAAGTGTCTCACAGTGCCCTAATGTGACCACTCTGGCCAGCACTTTCAGCTCTGGGTATGACTACATTGGGAGGGTGGGTTTGAAGAAGGTATGCAAATTGCACTCGTATTTGCATATCTTCTTCTGATTCTTTTTCTGGAAGAGGCTTTTCCAATATTTGGCCTATCTACATGGGATAAATGTAGGAAAAAATCTTCTTTCGGAAACTCCCTTATTCCTCATAAAACGAAGTGTACAAGGGCTTCTGAAAGAGGGCTTTTTCCCAAGATTTTGCCCTGTGTAGACAGGTCAAATATCAGAAAAGCCTCTTCCGGAAAAAGAATCGGAAGAAGAAATGCAAATCCAAGCACAATTTGCATACCTTCTTTGAAAAAAAACCACGGTGTAGCTGTACTCTCTGTCTCACTCCCAGGTACACAGGAAAAGCCCTGGGAAAATGTGAATTTCATTTCCTGTTAAGAGTCTTTTTGCTAGTCCAGTAGAAGCTGGAATCTTTTGCCAGCCTAAGTGGTGGCTAAAGGGTTGAAATCACTGAGGCTACGTCTACACTGGCAGCTTCTTGCGCAAGAACTCTTTTGCGGAAGAGTTCTTGTGCAAAAACTTTTCCACAAGAGAGTGTCTACACTGGCATGTGCTTCTGTGCAAGAGCATTCATGGCAGTGTAGACGCTCTCTTGCGCAAGAAAGCTCTGATGGCCATTTTAACCATTTTAGGGGCTTCTTGTGCAAGAAATTCATGTTGCTTGTCTACACTGGCCTCTTCTGGAAGAGCTCTTGCACAAGAGGGCTTATTCCTCGTGGGGAGAGGAATAACTCTTCCAGAAAAGGCCCTGTTTTACAATGCTGTACTGTAAATTTACTTCTGGAAGAACGCTCGTGCAGTGTAGACAGCCGGCAAGTTTTTGCAGAAGAACAGATGTTCTTGTGCAAGAAGCTGCCAGTGTAGACGTAGCATAAGAGCTGAAGTCACTAGTTTGGAGCCAGACCCATTGCAGCCAGCGGAGCAGCTGTCAGGAGCAGCTGTCAGGAATGACCGGTGGGTGGCCAGGAGGGGCGGCAGCAGGCGGCCAGCAGGGCAGCTGGTGGAAACGACCGGTGGGCAGCAGGGGCAGCACACAGGTGGCGTCACATCAAGCTCTATGAAGGAAGTCGTCAGGGTGATGTGTCTTGGTCTGCACTGACTGGACTGAGCTGTAAGTGGGGCATTTGAAGTGGGGTACAGGGAAAGTTGGGGTAAGTGAATGGAACCCTTACTTTGTTGGACGAATGAACCTGAGAGGCAAAGGATATTGCTCAATCCATTTGAGCTGGGACAGGTACTCGCGGGGAGTTATGAACTCTGTTCATGGTATTTTCCCAAGTTAATGCCATGTCACTTCTCTCTCTTTCATTAAAAGTTTCTTTTCTACACTCAGACTCTGTGCTTGCGAGTGGGGAAGCGTTACCTCTGAGAGGCGCCCAGGGGTGTGTGAATTTCCCAGGCTACTGGGTGGGGCTTGAGCCAGTTCTGTGTGAGATGGACCCCTAGATATTGAACCCGGCCCTGGTTGCTGCCGGCCCTATCTGGCAGAAGGGTTACAGAGAGATTGCAGGAAGTTGCAGGGCAGGGTTGAACCCGGCCCTGGTTGCTGCCGGCCCTATCTGGCAGAAGGGTTACAGCTGGGATAGAAAGCCGAGAGCAGCGCAGGGGGCAAAAGCAGACCTGGCCGCCATCTTGCCCATGAAGGACCCACTTCTGCCATGGCCGTGTCCCCACTGCTCCACGTGCTGCTCTGCTCCCACCTCTCACCTCCCATATGCCGTGCACTCACACCTGCCAGAGAGCACCATGGGGCTGCTGGAGTCTATCATCCAGGCACCCGTAGGCTGGATCCTGCCCAGCTCGCCTGGACCCGACAGCCAGATTCCCTGTGCTCCTGACAAGGCACAGCCTCCATTCCACACTCGGCCCATAGGCCTCTAACTCATTCCGTGCGTGGAGAGGTATCTGGCTGCCACGTGGGAGTGACTGTTATTTTTTCCCCCAATGCCTGTAACAGGGTTTATTTATTGTAAGTGCCACCCAGACCCTGCACCCCCCACTCCTCCTCCATGCCGAGACCCTGCACCCCCTCCCTGCTATTGCCCCTTCCTCCCTGCCCAGACAGCCACCCAAGTGCAGGGAAGCATGCACACGCTGCTCCTCCTCTCCCCAGAGTGGAACCCAGGGCAGGAGACCAAGCGGGGCACACAGTGGAGAGAGCCCCTCCCTCATCCTGGCAGAGTGGCGCAGCCGAGGGCAGGAGGGTTAAACCTTGGCACACCACTTTGGAAAGGTTGCCAACCTCTGCTTTATCCAAATAAAATTGCAGGCCCCTGCTGTGAGAACAGAATCATTTTGATACATTCCCTGTCATCCAACCCCAACTTCAGGCAGCTCAATGTTCTTGAAGGACGCTCTCTTTTCCTATCAATATAGTTGCTTACAAATGACCCGATAAAGGAAAATATTAAATCTCACCTCTTTAGTCACTCCACCCTTCTGTTATAAATAAAACTGACACCACTCTTTAGTAAAACAAGCAGTAGATCCCAATGACTGAATTCAAGCCTCCAAGGACTGGCAAATCACTGACAACTGAAGCAGTTTTGCTTATTCAAGACTTTGTCATCTGTTTATTTAAGAAAAAATACTACAGGCCATAACATTTCCAAAGCAACGTGGCTGACCTGACAACTACAGAGCGGGCAAACGTTTTGGAAAATAGGAACCTCAGACAAAGATGAAAAAATTTAGTTTAACTTTTTAGAAATCTTTAATTCTTAGTGAATGAAAACCAAAACATCAAGCCAAATATGAGTGAACATCACATCACTGTTGAACCTTCCCCCCCCATTAAGTTTGTAAGCAAGTAGTCGACTACCCAATAAGCATAAGCTTATTGTACAGTCAAGTACTCAACTACTTGTTTCCCTCCCCGCAAGGCAGCAAGGGGGGAGGGAAACAGGAGCTTTTGCCAGGAGGAGCAACTTAAAAGGCAGTCCCCCCCCCCACCAGCACTGTCTCCATGGTGCCACCTGCCCTACCCCCCACCCCTCCCTCCTCACAGGATAGGGGAGGCTGTTCCAGCAGCAGACTGTCAGCGGGGCTCCCAGAAGGGTCTCCCCCCACCACCTCCCACACGGACATGGGCTGCTGCCACCAAGCAGCCCCTGTTTGCAGCAGCCCGGCTCTCACTAAATTTAGAATGCAGAGGCACAGTGTTCCTGGAGCTGGCACGAGCCAGGACTGCAGGTCCAGCTCGCACCGGCTCTGGAAGCCACCTGCACTGCAGCTCTGCACAGCAGCCCCCTTATTGACTAATCGCGTAGTCAATACAAATTGTATCGACTACACGATTAGCCAGATAACTGCTCTTTAACATCCTTACCCCCAATATCATTCTGAGCTGTGTTTCAGGATTGTCGTAAGCTGGACACAAGAGTGATTCTGCTCTACTTTGCCTGGTACTGAAGCCCTTCGGCTCCAGCTTCTCCCCCTCATCTCTTTCCCCCGCCCTGGGTGTGGAGGTCTCCCTCTTGGAATCAAGTAACAATGTTTTTTGTCAGAAGGGGGTCGTAATGCAATGAAGTTTGAAAAACCCTGTGCTAGATAATACCTAGTCCTGCCATGAGCGCAGGGCACTGGACTAGACAATCTCTTAAGGTCCTGTCCAATCCTACACGTCTATGTCACAGCATATGAGATTACTAGACTAAACGGATGGTATAAGGCTGTGTCTTCCCATAGAATATTAACAAGGTATAGATGGAGCAATCAGCTAAACCGCTGTAATGTTTCAGTGTAGATGCTTACTACAGCAATGAGAGGGAGAGCTCCCAACACTGTAAATAATACACCTCTCTGAGAGATGGTATCTAGGTCAATGGAAGATTCCTTATGCTGACCTAGTACGATATATACACAAGGGGTCAATTTGATTTTAACTATGTTAGGTAGTGGAGGGGAGGGGATTTTTCATAGTTGTGCTTAAGTAACTTTTCAGTGTGGACCAGCCTTCGTACTCTGCATTGCCACAGGCAGAAGACTCCAGTTTCACTGCCACTTTCTCTGTCTTGTTTCTACTGTCCGAAAAGAACAGGATGCCCAACAGAGCCAGAGTACTCAGTTATTTTCCACAAAGGAAAGATGCACTGAATCACTCCAGAGATGTCGGCATGTCTCTGGTTTTAGTCTTAGCCCAGAAAGAATGTAGTCATAATGAAGGGCCTTTTTGACAAGCACAGTATCAAAAGTAATGAGGATGGTATAGAATTCTCCAGGCTTCAGCAAGGATACAAAGAACACTCTTGCACCGGGAAACAAACAAAACACACTATAAATGACTGCAGAGAAACAACACAACTCATGGGCATTTCAAAACAGTGTCTCAAGTTATGAAGTGGACTGTTAACACTCACATTTCATTTGCTTGGAGATAGACTTGTTGGGCTCAAGCCAGTGCTGAAAAGAAAGGGCAGAGATCAGCAGTTAACATGTTGTACAGTACAGCACATACTTAAAATTAAGAGGCTGTGATAAACTGACACATAATATTTTCATTTCCCAATATAAGCCAGTGTATAGGAGGCATCTCAAAGGTACCAAAAACAACCCTGTGTGTTATTCTTTCTATATATACTCTAGCTATAGTGTATGTCACAACTCTATACATAAATGATGTAATAATAGAGTTAAGAATTGCTATTTATAAAACAAGATTCCAAAGAGATCCATTCAAAGCAGAGTAGCTCCCCTGATCAGAGTCCCCAGCAGTGACTTACACCTTATTCTTCTCTATTTCAAAGGAGATGTTCATGCTTGCGAAATAAGGACAGAGAACATTCAGAATCTAAACCCGATATTTGCTGGAGTCATGAACTGGATATTTAGTACAGCTGCTGCATGTACTAAATCATACACTCTTAGCCCATATCAGCATAAAAGTTATTATAATCCTTTCCGAGCAAGAACTGGAAACTTGATCAAAAGCAAAAATGTTAAAGGATAAAATGTGTTTTAAATTAAATGGTATAGCTAAGAAGATCGTACAGCACACAATGAATAATTATGGACATGTTTTGGTCTCTTCGCAGCCTGTGGGGGAAGGAATGATAATGGCTAAAATTAGTACATGTTTCTCTGTTTTGGAACAATGTACAGTATGAGGTTGGGAAGATGGGAAGAGATTTTCAGTTTTGCAAGATGGACTCCTACCTATACAAATATCTTGCACTCAAACCTCAGCAGAAGAACTAGGGCACTTTACTAGCAATTGCAATAGCATAGAGCTGAGCCACTGAGACAGCTGATGTACAGATGGGTTGATATTCAATTGTCACTTTTGCCAAAGGTCATCAGCCTTTCCATGGAGATTTTTCCTGCACATGAAAAATCTCCACATTAAACTGAGATTTGTGCTGCTGCAGTCACTGGTCAGCAAGTGTGCTAGGCAGCCTTATTAAGCATAATCAGCATGAGGAGGCCTTACACCACAGGGTTAATTTTTAACTTATTCCATGCTAGCAAAAAATTAGCCTTTATGGATTGGATGGGGACACTAAGCAAAGCAAACAAAATACCAAAAGAGTGTTTTCTAATGCCTACAATATCTGTAGTATTGACTATCATAGCCATTGTAATGGTACCCACATGCAGAACAAGCTTATGGTAATTTGCAGCATTTACTAATGGAGTGGTGTAGTAATTTAATTTAAAAAGAAAAGCTGGAAATTTCCTGAAGAAGCAGCTAAATTCAGCTGTAATTATTGGTGGCATGTACAACTGCTAATGAAACACAAATGCCGCTAAAAACCCATGTCTCAATGTGTGCAACTCAGAATTTAGGGCTGTTAAGCATCACTGGCAATGGCAGTATTATGGGTGGCAGGCATTGTTCCATAGCCATGTTAGACTGATTTTGAAGTTCATCCCCAATTGACTCAAAAAGAAACTCATTCTTCCACCTTGACATCTCCCTCATGCCACATTTCAACCTAGGGCAGGGAAAAAATTAAGTCCGGAATAAAATTTTAAAAAAAGATCAGAAATGCAGTTTTTAACTATAGTGTGTAAAAAGCGTACCCATCCCTAACTGAAAATGTGCTAGCATTTATCCCATACCCCCCTTTGCAAAACAGCTTGGATTACACAGAATAAAATGTTGTTCATCTTCCACTGGAATAATGCATGTTAGAGAAATTCTTGGTTAGAAGTAGATGATTAATGGGGTAATTAAAGATATATATTATTCTAAAGAGTTTGTAGTAGGATGTATTCCTTGAGAGTTTCTAGTACATGACCCATGCTAAAATAATGAGGAAGGGATTAACGAGATCATTAGAACAGAGGTATAAGGAAGGCACTTGTATCTCTCCCATCTCCACTCTGCCAGAGTGACGAAGCTCCAAGGCTCAGATTCAGGCAAGACGGAGACACTTGGACTGTGACTACCCTGCTAATTTGGCAGGATATTTTAAGAAAGGTTTCTTTTCCCAGACTGAAGCAAGTTAGTTTGTTTTCTTTTCAAAAGACCAAGCCGAAGTAAGTATAACTTCTATTTCTAACCATACACTGTTCCAGGACTGAAAAACACTTTACACAGAATCATAGAACTGGAAGGAACGTCAAGAGGTCATCAGGTGAAGTCCCCTGTACCGATGGCAAAGCCAAACGCCATCTAGACCATCTGGAACAGCACTGGTACAACACCTTCCAGAATACTATATCTAGTTCTGGTATCCACAGTTCAAAAAAAGATATTGCTAAATTGGAGAGAGTCTAAAGGAGGACCATTAAAATAATTAAAGAACAAGAAAACATGCCTTATATTGATAGACTCAATTAGCTCAATTTAGTTAGCTTAACTAAAAAAAAAGTAAGGTCTGATCACAGTGTTAGTATCTACATAGGAAACAAATATTCAATAAAAGACTCTTCAATTAAAGTTATAACAAGAACCAATGGCTGGAAGTTGAAGCTAGACAATTTCAGCTACAATTTGACATATAAGGTGACTGGAAATAAGGTGACTATTTTTAACAGTGAGGGGTAATTAGCCATTGGAACAATTTGCCAAGGTGGATTCTCTGTCACTGTCAATTTTTTAAATATTTAAAATCTTATTTTTAGGGTATTCTATGGCTTGTTTTACACAGGAAGTCAGACGAGATAATCACAATGGTCCTTTCTGGCTTTCAAATCCATCAAATTAATATATAGTGTAAGTTTAGCCTGATTTTCAGAAGTGCTAAGAACCCATTATTCCCACTGGCTTCATTGAGATTAGTGGGTGCTCAGTAGGGATGTAAAAAGTTGATTTAAAAAGTAACCGTGTAACCGCTGAAAATCTTAGAAGTTACATGGTTATACATGGTGCAGGCTCTGCAGAATAAAGCTTTACATAGCATAGCTTGCAGCAAAGTCTCTCCAGGAACAGGGCTGCTGGCCCCTGCTCGCCCATCTCCTGGGAAGGTGGCTTCCCTGCAGCAGAGAAGCCAGCAAGGGCTACCAGCTCCACTCCCAGGGAGGAAGCTTGTCTGCCACAGAGAAGCCGGCGGGAGCTGCCAGCTCCACTCTTGAGAAGGAGGCTTTCCCGGGAGTGGAGCTGGCAAGAGTTGCTGGCCCCTGCAGAGGAGGCTTCACTGCCACAACAAAGGTGCCTTCCCGGGAGCAGGGAGACTTTGTGGTGGACTCTGCAGCCAGCTCCTGGGACCCGGGCTGGGGAGCCAGCATGTAACCTGCAGCATGGAGGCCCAGCCTGCCATTGACAGGAGTTACATCTGTTAACCAGCCAGAGCATCCCCTGCCTGTGGTGGGCCCTGTGGGCTGGGAGCTCCTTCAGCACCTATGATTAACTAGAACCTATAAGCATTACAACATTTAAGGTGATGCTTACTTGTTAGCTGGTTAACCAGTTAATGGTTCACGTCCCGAGCATTCAGCACTACTGAAAATCTGGCTACTGAGATGCCGGTATATGTGTTTAGGAGCCTAACTTAATATATTTTGGCTTTTCAGATTTCCACTTATGTCCTCCATTACATAGCTGCATTAATTTCTACCAATACAATTAAAAATGACAGGCAAACAATAAAAGGAGACTGAGAAAACTAAATGCCTCTCCAAAACCAAATAAAAAGCGAAGTAATGAGTCTATGACAGGAGTCAAACACACACAGAAGCAGAATCTTCAGAGATATAAGAACGTAACACTTTTCTACATTTGCCCTACATGCCACATTAAGTTATCATTGAGGTACCTGAGCCAACGGCCATTTATGTTAATGTGACTCTATCAATTAGACTCCAGAGACTCCAGATCTGTTCCACAAAACTGACCAAACAAGGACACTATTTTACATTGTCCTCTGGCACGATGTGAAAGATCTAACCTTATTCACATCTCTGCTTAAGTGGGTTTTGCCCATGAAAGCTCATGATACTATATTATATATATATATTTGTTAGTCTCTAAAGCGTTATGGGGCTACTTGTTTTTAAAGTTACAAATTAACATTGCTACCCCTCTGAGATTCCTAATCTTATTCAGATCAACTCCTTTCATTCACTCTAGTCAAGATTCCTAATCTTATTCTGATCAACTCCTTTCATTCACTCTAGTCAGACAAGTATAAGAACTGAACAATTTAATAAGCATAAAATCTCTGAACATTAAAGAAATTTCCCTCCCCATAAGATGCACCTGTAACTGAACTCCTCATTAGATGCTACACTCAGGCCTGCAGACGGTGGGTGGGCGGAGTAAAGGGGAGGAGGGAGGCAGGAGCAGCAAAAGGGACAAATGTCCCAGGCTCATTGATTTGAAAGGACTCCCTGCTGCTGATGCCATGATAGCAGCATAGCAGTGATCAGAGCCCTGGGCCCTTTTATACTGCCCCCAAATCACCAGGTGGTGTGCACCACGGGATTCTGAAAGGCGGGCTGGGGGAGGCTATCGCTCAACCCTGTCGTTTCCCCTGAGGCCTAGTCCCCCAAGCTGCCCCCTCAAAGCCTGTAGGCAGACTTATCGATACTTCAAAGGTTACAAGAAGCACCAGTGCAGCTGTACTACTAGAGCGCTTCTATGAAGATATGACGTGCACCAGCGGGATAGCTTCTCCTCTTGGCATAGGTAATTCACCTTCTAGAGAGACAGTAGCTTTTTTGACAGGAAATCTAACTACACCAGGAGTAAGGTCAGTAGAAGTGCGTCATTCAGGGGTGTGGAACATCTGAGTAATGCAGTTATACCAACAAAAATTGCTAGTATAGATGAAGCCTATAAGTATCCCTTCTGATCAGCAGATAAATCTCAGTGAGTAGCTCTTTACAAGGCCGGGTGTCCTCTTGTTTATCCACAATACTAACATTATGCATGCTTCCATAGCAAAAATCTTCCAGTTAGAAAGGACACCACAGGGCTAAAAGAATCATTTTAAAATGCACATTATTTAAGCCAGAAA